GGGACCTGCCAATCCCAACTTGTGGCAGTCCCTATTGACGGCCAACTCACTTACTCCCTCTCACTTTTTTTTTTTTTTTCCTTTCTTTTTCTAGCATGCCAAGTGTCAAGTGGACGTTAAGGCTCTTTTTTAGGTCCTTCCTCTTAGTTTTGGCCCTCCCTATGCCCATGGTGCAGTCCGTTATATCTCGGACTGCAATAATGGTTCCCTCATGCCCAAGGGAGCTTCCTTTTTCCTTTATTTTTCTCCCACAGTAGCCCCTCCAACTCCGATTTTCTCCCGGAGGCCTATTTTTCACATTGAGTCTCTTTTGAGTCCATTTTCTTGAGGGAGGCTGATCCGAGATTTTTCGGATTGCTCCCATGCCTCCTACTTCATGTTTCTTTACTTTTTCTTTTCCTTTTGGCCTCCCCGTTTGCTACCGCTAGTGCTTGCACTAGAGGTGTTAGTATTTTTGGTCGTCAAGATTTCGATCTTGACGGTGCATCTTGTTTTAATTGTTTTCTCCTCATGTTGCTTCTCCGTTTCTCTTGGGACATTCTCATATTCCCGCCACTTGTCCCGTCGGTGGTCCTCGACACTTAGTCTCGTCGGTGGTCCCAGACACTTAGTCCCGTCGGTGGTCCCCGACACTTAGTCCCGCCGGTGGTCCCCGACATTTTGTTCCTCCGGCGGTCCCCGACACTTAGTCCCACCAGTGGTCCCCGATATATCTTATCTCGGCTACCATTATTTTTACTTAGTCCCACGTGGTCCCTGGTACCTTTCCTCAAGGTGTCCCACGTTCTTTGGGCGTCTACCGCCCTATGGTGGCCCCTTTTTTCTTGCTTTCTCTTGGGCCTTGCGTGCGTTGGTTTCTCCGGCCGCGGGCTTCCAATCCGAGGCTCCCGTTAATTGTCGTAGGCAGCTCCCAAGTTGGGCCCTTATTTTCTAGCGTTTCACGGTCACCGGGGCCATCCTCCTCTCGGCTCCCTCATTCTTTTGTTGCTATCGTGCCGTGTTTGCAGGGTCAATGACCCCGTGGCCTGAGTCTTGCTGAATTCCAATGGCCCTCTTGGCCTCATGCTATGTTCTATGCACTCATGTCCTCACGCTTGCTTGCTTGTCGTCGCCGGTTCTTTCCCCATGCGGTTCTCAACCTAGGGCATCACTCCCCCCTGCTGCCTAGTCCTTTGTCTTTTCTTTCTCTCACCTCCTTACTCCGGATTTCTCTGTCGTGCAAAATTTGACTATATACAGGCTTTCGAGTGGTGGGATGTTATTCGGGACTCACCGGTCCCGACACATTCCCCCCACTCATTCGTGATGTCCTCAACGTGCACTAATCTTCTGTCAGTAGGAGGGTCTGAAGGGATAGACGGAGGAGAAGGGGTGGGGTGTGATGGGTAGTTAGTTTGTCAGGGTCTTCTTTGTCTTTTCTTGTTCGTTTTTTTGGGTTTCTTCTAGTCTCCGCTCCTTGGGCGGGGAGGGGTGTGTGGAAGGTCAAGGACCTCCTTCAGGCTTCTCTCTTCTCATTCACCACTCTTAGGACATCAAACCTTTTTTCGGCTTCTTTGGTCTCATTCATCACCCGAAGTGCATCAAACTTTTCGTCTCATTCCTCACCCGAAGTGCATCAAGCTTTTCGTCCCATTCATCACCCGAAGTGCATCAAGTTTGTCGTCTCATTCATCACCCAAAGTGCATCAAGCTTTTCGTCTCATTCATCACCCGAAGTGCATCAAGTTTTTCGTCTCATTCATCACCCGAAGTGCATCAAGTTTTTCGTCTCATTCATCACCCGAAGTGCATCAAGCTTTCTCTTCTTTCGTTCTGCAGTCCATGCTCCTCCTTTGAGCCTGGTTATCCTAAATGCCTTCGAAAGTTCTGCCCTCCATCCCATGCCAACCAAATCCCTTTTTCGGTCTTTGTCACCCTCAGTGCCTCTTTCGGTTCGTCGGCCCGTGCAATCCATGCCTCCCGCCATCTTTTTCTTCATGCATTTCTTCCAGGTTATTTTGCCAGGTTTTTCTCTAGTCCTGCCTATTTCACATGCATGTCTCCTTCCTCACACCTTTCTTGCGCCCAAGCTCAATCAATTTTACATGCATGTTGCCCAATCCATTTCATATGCATCTCTCTTCTGGACATATTGCCAGACCTTTCCCAAGCCCAAACAAAGTCAATTACCTATTCCTTTCTCTTCTGGTCATCTTACCAGGCCTTTCTGTAGTCCCCGCCAAGTCAATTATACATATCTTTCTCTTCTGAACGTCTTACCAGAAATTTCTTAAGCCCACGCAAAGTCAATTACACATGCCTTTCTCTTCTGGACATCTTGCCAGACCTTTCTCACGCCCACGCAAAGTCAATTACACATGCCTTTTCTCTTCTGGACATCTTGCCAGACCTTTTTCAAACCCACGCAAAGTCAATTACACATGCCTCTTCTTTTCTGGACACCTTGTCAGGCCTTTCTCAAGCCAACGCAAAGTCAATTACACATGTCTTTCTCTTCTGGACATCTTGCCAGACCTTTCTCAAGCCCACTCAAAGTCAATTACACATGTCTTTCTCTTCTGGACATCTTGCCAGGCCTTTGTCAAGCCCACACAAAGTCAATTACACATGTCTTTCTCTTCTGGAC